TTTTCCACTTTTATTGCGGTTACAACAGAGAAGCCGCAAGTGCTGCCCCCATATCAAAATAATATATATACATGTATATAGCATATCTGGCTATACAATTTTAATTAAACACACACACGTCAAGTGCTTTTTGGTTAGTAAGATCTGGAATTTGCTATCTCTGCGGTTTTCTGAGTCTGTTCAACTTTGACTTACGATCTCTGTTCTCTCTTTTCATTCATTTTTTCGGCCAACGATCCATGACACATTGTCTAGAACTTTGAGCTGTGTCTCGCCAATGCCGTTATAATTGTGAACACTTTGTTGTGAACTTACCTGTAAAGAAGAAGAAAAAGGTAAATTGAAACATGAGTCAAGCTAATAATAAAAATTGAAAGCAATTACTTAGAACTAGAGAGGGTCTGGGACATAAAAGATCTATACATATCAGATGTATACAATTCTGAGGAAATTATATACCCCCCACTCAGCACAGTAGTACCTCCCAGCTGATGCCTATCGGCTGCCGAATGCCTATTGACTGTGCTCAAAACTTGATAAGCATCACACACTGTGGGAATTCTACCCCTAAATATGCATATAGATGAACAGAGAAACAATCCCCAATGCAGAAAAAATGAAAAGAATGAAACTCACTCTCAAGTGACTGCAGCATATGAAATACAAATTTTAGATCATTGTTTTGTTTTTTTTTTCTCTTTTGGAATGAGGAAAAATGTCAAAAACAAATATAGCAAACACTTAAAATGGTCTCAAGTGAGCCGAAAACAAAAAGTCAAACCAAAATAAAAATAAAGAGAGATGGTAGTGGTAAGTGTGATAGAGAGAGAGTGTGAGAGAGAGAGAGAGCATCAGATGCACAGTCGGAGAAAAACATCTAAACTACAAACAAACAAAAACAAATGAACGTAAGAAAATACGAAGTGATAGACTAACAAATACTCTCTAAACTGAACTACAGTGACTACTGCTACTTCTGGGATAGATCAACAAATACTCTATAATCTATGCCAAGCTACAGCTGAATAACTTAAAACTGAAACGAATACTCGAATATTCTTTTTCATATATTCTACTCTTGCTTAAACCTGAATACCAAATATATTCAGACTTTAAATTTCGAGTTCTTTATTTATGTATGTAACAAAATGCACAGCCACTATCAAAATAGTCGACTGGCAGGCGTACGTAACTCTAGACGCTCAAAGCTTCTAGATCAATTTAGCTTCTCGTTCATTCTACGATATAATATATTCTACAGGCCATTTCTCACACATACATAGTACACCCGCTTGTCCAATTTCCTAGACGCTCAGGGTATAAACAATAAACAAAACACAAACAAAATAAATAAACAACAACAGCGCATTGGCCCAGAGCTAAAGAAGTAAAAAGTCAACTGGCGGCTAAAAAGCTATGGCAAAAAATGTCAAACGAATATGTGTGTGTGTGTGTGTGTGTGTGGGACGGTAGATGAGCAGGGGGCGGGCCAGAACGGACAGGATGTGGGATGAGGTCAGTTGAATGCCTGTAGAATATGCTGTGCTGAAATTTATGCACATACAGAGAGAGAAAGAGATGGGAGAGAGAGAGAGAGCGACTTGACTTGGGAGCTATTGCTAGTCCCCGAAGGCTACACCGTTTTGGGGGCGTGGTCGCCTGGCCCATTGGGTTGCCTTGCAGCGTGGACGCTTTGCAAAATATGCACGAGCACGAAGAGAAATTTAGCTGAAGGACGCGTACAACAAACAGACAGACAGACCTACAGAGATAGAAAGAGATAGAGAGAGAAACTAACTGACGGACTGACTGACAAACTGCTGATTTTTATTTGAACAGCGACTGCTTTATGAGCTTCTAGCTGCATTTACAGCAGCTATCACAGTTGGTTGAAAAACTTGCACAATTTTTTAGATTGCAATTTTTTTTTTATTTTTTTTTGTGTTAGATGTGGATGGACTGTGGCTTTGCGGCTGGGAGTTAGTTAGGCTCGCAAACACAACTGTCAAGGCTGCTTAAAGTTGAAAAACACACATGAGAGAGATTGCAAATTGATACTAAATAATGCGAGAGATCGTAGTTGAATGCACTTGAGCCAAGTTTGTTCATAGAAAGCTGACAAGTTGATTAAACGCCGAGTTGAATAATTATAAACTAATTGAACTTGTTTATATAATTATGGTTATTAAAGACTGACGTGAGTATATACTAAGTGCATTTATATTATAGAGGACAAATGTTAACAATTATAAAGATATAATACACATATATTATTAATATTATTAATATACAGTATATACAACTGAAGTTAAACTTTGTACAAATAGTTTTATTCATGCATATATGTTTTTCTATATATTATATATTTATGATCAGTCGAGTTGTCCAAAGTAGAAAAACTAATTCTTACAAAAATATGTTTTGGAAATAACTGCAAACCGTTTTTCAGTTTCGTCGAATAAGTGTCTCCTACTCACACTCTAAAATAAAAACTCAGAGAGCAACCGATTGCGTCGGTTCTTTAACGAAATCGTTCGCGATCGTTCGGAAACCTTTTTTCTCCCAATTTGAGTTTCATGAAGTCTATGAGTGTGAATGTGACGAACGTTTGCATTGAGTTGAGTTGAGCTCACTGAGTCTCCCATTGTGCGAACGTTAATCGAATCTCTCACTAAATGATATTCGTTTAAAGAGAATCACACGAATAGTTCAACTCCAGCCACTCAACCGAAGTTCAAAACGAAAAGAACCGAAGGTTCCTGCTCAGAGCGAGAGAAATTAATCATGATAGAATATTAGGTTAGCAGTTATTTACAAGCTATGTTTTCTTACATTGTTTTGCACATTATTTATTAATTTGATATCATTTTTTTAGTTTCTTTAGTTATTGTTTTTATGAATATTATTTAAATTTTTATTTTTTTTTTTTTTATTTCATTTTAACAACAATTTTTCATTTGAATTTTCATGATTATAGCTTTATTTATTTATTTCAATTTTTGCCAATTTTATTTTTCATGAATTTATTTATTTCGCATTTAAAAGTGCTTTGTATTTACTTTATTTCATTTTACTTTTATTACTTTTTTTTCGGAGTAATTTTATTTTTCGTTATTTCATTTTCATTTTATCAATTTAATATTCCATAATTTTTTACCTATAATCCTTTCATCTAGTTGATTTGTAATGATTTTTTATTAATTTTCTATGATTCGTTTATATATTCTTGTTAATATTATTTGTTCCGCATTTTGTTTTCAATTATTTCATTTGCATTCTTTCAATTTAATAAAAATTCCATGAGCTATAAATATTTGCAATTAAATGTATAACTTTTTTATTTAGCTTACTTGAATTGATTTGGTAATATTTATGGTTTTAATTTATTTGGTAGGAATTTCATAAATTATATAAATATATATTGCACTATCTGCTTTTGGCCACGTTTTGCTCAGCCTACTTTCAATTTGGTAAGACAGCGAGACAGCGATAATCTTATATTTGATTTAATTCGATTTTCGCTCAAGCTGGCCAAGGCCATTAAAATTTGGATAGCAAATCGAATAATATTTTCTATCGAGCCAAAGAAGAAAATACAACTAAAAATATAATAAATATTATTCGCTCTCTCTCTCTTTCACTCACACTATTCAGCTAGAGGCTGGCAGCTAAAAATTCATCAAGCAAATACATAAATACAAACACAAATAGTCAGGCAGATAAAAGAGAAAGAGAGAGTGAGGGAGAGAGATAGAGAAAAGCAATGCGAGAATGCGCCACAAAACACGTACAATAGCTAAAATAATACAATAACAAATCGCCACAGTGAATGCTGAATGCTGACGGAAAATCGAAGCAGGAAAATCGCTGTAACTTGGCAAATGGTTTTGGGCAGAGGGAAAACAGCTTTGAAGTGAAGCTGAAGCTGGAGACTGAGGCTGCCTTGGCTTTTGTCTGTGGGGCCCGTGTGCCCGGGCATTTGCTGCGTCCAGGGGCACACGCACACACGCACAACTTTTCCTAACACACACATACACACAGAAACATGAAAATCTACTCAGCTGCTGCGAAGGGTGCAAAAGTATGTGTGCGCGCGTGTGTGTGCGCCTCTGTGTGTGTGTGCGAAGCGAGGGTGTTATAAGCGGTTAAATTTCGAACATGCCCTGGCTTCCTCTGGCCCAGCTCCTTGCCTTTTCTTCTCCCGCACACACACACAGACACATTTTTACCTACGTCTCAGTTTCGTTTCCCCTTTGGCCCTGCCCGGCTCTAGTTGTGTGTGCACGCGCCGTTGGCGCCGTCCTTACAGCCAATTTCCCATCGTCATGCTCGGCTCTGCTCTGCTCTGCGCCCCGCTTAAGCCTCAACCCTCTGCCGCCTGCTGTTTGTCCTTTGCGCGACCCCCAGACCAATGCCACGCCCCCTGCCCTTACACACACCCCGCGTCTGTCCACAGTTTGCTCCACGTGCGTTTCGTTTCGTTTTTGTTTTTGTTTTGTTTTTTTTTTTTTTTTTTTTTTTTTTTTTTTGGGTGTCTTTTTTTGGCATTTTCCCTTCTGCTGTGTTGGCTAATTTTACGTTACGCATACGACACGTGTATGTAGGTGTGAGTGTTGTTGTTATTGTGTGGCTGAACGTAACAGAAACTAAAATTCTGTTGCCTAGTTTTAAGCGCTTTATGGCACAACACTTTGGGGCAGCTATGCAAAATGTGGTGCATGCAACATGAAGCTAAAATTTAATGTGAAATAAATATGTAAAATAAACAAAAGAAACCAAATTTACGATATAATAAATATCTAAAATATTTATATATAATTTTCATTTGTATACAATTTTTTTTACAATTTTCACATATTTTTTAAATATTTTTATGTATTTCTTTTGCTTTTGTCAGTTCGGTTTTCCGTCTCGTTTATCTGCTGCCACACGAAATTAAACACAAACAAAAAGTGAAATAAAACAAAATACGAAAAAAGTTAAATAATCGTCTGCCCATGTTGGAAAAAAAATGAAACTTTTGCCTGCGTTTTGCATATTTTCGTTTCGTTTTTTGGTTTGCAACGTAAAATGTCGTTTAAAATGAAACAAACCAGCAGCAGCAGCAGCAGCTGGCAGCCGTGGGCCTGGACGGGAATCTCGGCTAAAGTCAGGCACCCGGAAGCTGCCACGCCCCATATTACCCCCCTTTACCTTTGGCGAACTTTAAGCAAACGCCCACATCATGCCCCATCTTGGCTGCGTAATCTAGCAACTACTCGAGCGGCATAAATTTTAGCAACAAGAGCAACGAAGACGACGACGACGACTGCAATGTGGAGCCATAAAAGTTACAACACAATAAGCAGCAGCAGGGAGAGAGAGAGGGAGAGGGAGAGAGAGGGAGCGACAGACAGAGTGAAGTGACTGTGAGTGGGTTTAAGACCTGACCAAAGGGCTACACGCACACACACTTACACACACACGCACACACACACACACACATACAGCTGCATACATAAACACACATAATTTCGCACAAGGCACACCGAACTTGGCGACTCGCTCTGCATAAGTAATAAAAATAGTAATTTGCTCGTAAAATAGTTGCGCTCAAGTAATTTTAACGATTATGATCTTAATCAACTTGCCAACAGGGGGCGGACTCTGGGGGCAGGGGCCAAGTGGGGGCCAGCATCCCAACCATTGCAGTGCTTTCTAAAGTTTTACAAGCATTTGCCAACAACAACAAAAACACAAGATTTCAGATTTGAAATATTTTGATAAATATAAAAATACAGATAAAGTCTGGGCAGCTATGCTACATAAATTTTACATATAATTTATATAATAAAAGTTAAGTAAGCTCTAAGCAGTAACTATAATTACAGAAGCTTATCTGTGGCTCCTTTGACATAGGAAATGTGATATAACGAGCTTTTATTAAATTAAATTCACACAAGCAAAAGCATTCATCAATCTTATTCTTAATAAAAGTTTGCCTAAGAATGTATAAAATGAATGTTTGACTATTGCAGAAGGCTAAATCTTTTAGAGCATACGAGCTAGATTCATAAAAGTCTGTTGCTAAACTACTGTTATTTCGGCACAGATAGAACTTTAAAGTTTATAAATCAACCGTCAATCAAAATACTAATTTGGTTTTCTAATTTAAGAGTTCTTCTTCTCTATTCCTCTCAATCTCATTCTCATGTTCCCTCTTTTTAAGTGTTTCTCCCTTCGTCACCGTTTCTTTTTCTCTTTGTCTTTCTCTTCTTCTCTCTCTATCGAACTTTCTCTCCTTCGCTGTACGCTATCAATCTGTTTCACTCCGTTCCTTTAACTACCTTTTCTAACCCTTATCTGTCATTTTGCTACAGAGAGAGAAAGTAGAAAGAGAAAGAGAAAGAGAGAGAGAGTGAACAGAGTATGTAGAAAGAGATGGAGAGAGATAAAAAAGAGAAAGGGAGACAGATGAACTGACTGAGACAAATAGTTCATCTGTCTCCCTTTCTCTTTTTTATCTCTCTCTATCTCTTTCTACATACTCTGTTCACTCTCTCTCTCTCTCTCTCTCTTTCTCTTTCTCTCTCTGCTGCGTTTGTTCTCTCTCTTTCTCCTTTGACTATTCTCTCTCAATGTCCTTTGTCTGATCTCGTTCTCTCTCTCTCTCTCTCTCTCTCTCTCTTTCTCTCCATTGTCCTTTGTCTCTATGCCCCTCACTTTAAGCCTTATTTCATAACTTATATGAAATAATATTCCCAAATCAACACAAACTCAGGTATTTATTTAGTCGAAATGCCCAAACTGCTTTACTATATTTATTGTATTTAATAAATTATTCAAGCACTTTTCTGATTAACCACACAAATTTTTTTGCAAGGAAAAAAAAAAGAAGAAGCAACAACATCACGAATCCAATTAAAAGTTAAAGTTTCCACAGTTTTTCCCGCACAAAAGCCACAGCATTTTCCCCACACATGAGCAAAGTAATCAGCCCACAATTTGCAAAACATTTCTACATAATTTGCATGCATAGAAAACATATAGTATATACATATATGTACCGTAAATATATGTTTTCTATATGCTCTACATATATGTTTTTCAATACTTTTTTCATATTGCACTCAGTCAGAAACAAATTATAATTTTCCATTTTACAAAACTTAATAATGAACATAGAGCCAAGCCCGATATGTGCTTAGAATGCTTTATAAAGCGGAGGTAAATTATTTTAGCAAATTTTTTAGCATACAAAAAGTTATGAAATTTATATATATATATCACACACATACATATATAGAAGGTTGATGAACAAAACATGACTGAGCCAACGAAGGCGTTGCAAATGCCAAGCAATGAGTAAGCAAAACAGAGCAGGGAAAAACAAAAGAAAAACTAAGGAAAAACCTCAAAAATATAAGAGAAAAGCATAGGGAAAAACTGAAAAATAGGAAATATACGGGCACGGAAAAGCAACGCTTGAATTTATGTGCATAATTTTTTTTATATCAGCGACAGGCGATAGAAAATACCAGTGCCAGTGGGCGTGGCAATTACAGAGAACGAGGGCGCCATTCGAAGACCGAGCGTGGCGAGCAACAACAATGCGAGGCAAAAGTTTTTCGATTTGCTTTAATGTTAGAGAAGCATTGCTAGGAGTTCGCCAAAAGGTAATTGAGAAATGGTACAGGCAAGCCCAGCTACAACGGACTGCAGCCGCAGCAGCAGCAGCAGCAACAGTGGGCGCGGCTCGCAGGCAGCATGTGTGAGTTATGTGGAAAAGTTTTGTGTATGCCAGCACCTACAGGGTATCACCTTAAGTGAACAAGCACAAACAACCAACACATGCAACAAAGAAGCTGCAGCTCGCTCGCTTGCCCGCCGGCGCTGAAAAGCGTGCTACACTTTTTTTGATACAGAATTAAAGCCGCGCAAGTGCAGCTTAGTGTGCATGTTAGCATGTGCATGTATATGTGTGCATGTGTGCTTTGTTAAGCACTTTTAGTTATGCAAATTTCATTTCAAACATATTTGCTAGAGCATAAACAAAACAAGCAGCAGCAGCAGCAGGAAGAGAAAAAAAAAGCAGAAAAGAAAACTGGTGTGAAAACAAAACAAAGCCAAGTCAAGAGCTCAAACTTTCTGGCATTATAACAGTAATAAGTATAGAGTGTATGAGTGAGACAGGTGCCAGAGAGAGAGAGAGAGAGAGCAGGCCATCAACAGTGACTTTGGCGTTTGGCGTTGAAGTGTGTACTTTGTTTAATGAGTTTTCAAGATGAGTTTTTGTTGCCCGGTCGCAAAAGGCAGCTGCAAAACAATAGCCGCAACTGCCACGCCTATACGCCCAAAAGTTATCTGTGCCTCTGTGTACGTGCGTGTGTGTATGTGTGTGTAACGAGGCCAGGTCAGATATATATATAATATATATATACATATATACAGTAAATACTATATACATTTTTGATTGAAATGCGCGCTGGCAGGCCAAAAAAGTTGCCGAGTCAAAAGTTCTCCAGAGAATGAACGGAAAACAAAATGCAAGTTGAAGTGAGAAAAAGTGCAGAATTGAAATACACAAAAACAATAAAAAGCAGCGCGAGTGAGTGCTCTAGGCGAAGGAATGCACAACTGGAAGATATCATAAAGAATTGAGGTAAAGATTAAAATAGTAACCATATTATGATATATGAGTGGATAGATATGCAATAAAGAATATGTTCCTAGTTCCAATACTTATACCTACAATCTATATACCAAATTTAACCGCTCTATCTCCTAGAAACTTCGAGCAATGCTTTCAAAACCAAAGTAAAAATCAGAATATTACGAATTTATTTAGACTGAAATGGCTAAATCAACAGTATCGTTAATCCCTAGCCACCTTACATATACTTTCACTGCAATGCCACACCTACAACTGTCTGCTAGCTACATTTGTAACAGTAACATAATACCCTGCACTCTCCTTTTCCATGGGTATATCAAACAAACGTTAACTCCCAAAGAGAACGCTGTGCAAATTGGGTGGAAGAAAAAAACGCTCAAGAGCGCTGTGGGACGGCATGCCTGGCATACCATGCTGCCACGCCCCTCAAGCGCCCACAACAATTTTAAAGAATTCTACCGCTGCAGCCACAACGAAGTTACAATTTATATATGTACAAAGGAGGCCAGAGAAAATGTTAAAAATTTAGCGCACGGCAGGTAAAACACAGCAGGAGGGCAATAAGAGAAACACAGAGATTTTGTTTGCTTTTGCTTTTGATTTTGCCTTTGCTTTTCCCGTTGCCTTTACCTTTGCCTTTGTGCCGTTGCCCTTTCCAGGGATAATGACAAAAATGTTGAACAACAAAATCAATTGATCAATTTTACACAGAATTTTCCCCGAGATGTTTATCGGAAAGGAAACGAAACGGCAGCTAAAAACAAATTTCATTTAACCGAAGCGAGACAAAATCTTTTGTTTACACAACAGCGCGAGAGAGAAAAGGAGGCAGAGAAAGCAGTGAGAGTGCGAGAGGGAGAGGGAGAGAGAGAGAGAGTTCATGGTGTACCCCTACAGCTCCACACAGATTTCATCGTGAAGGTCAATAAACTAAGAGCAGGCAGATCGGAGATCTATGCACATATGGTCGCATATTTATTTATTTATATATCTATAGGAATAGTTAAAATTTGATTCGAAAATTGAAAATTAACAGCTGGATAAATATGGGCAAGCCAAGTGCCTGGCGGGAATAGCAGAGAAAAGTCATCAAAGCCGGCGACAACATTGATCATAATGATCTATCCACGAAGATAATCACGTTCTATTGGCCGTGCGTGCCTTCTTAAGGTGCTGACAAATCAATGATGAGAGAGAAAGGGAGAGAGAGAGGAGGGCAGATCCATTTAAATTTAGCAAATAGCCAAAGAAACTGGAAAAACTATGACAACGACACGAACAGCATGTGCAGCAATGAAGCGCAAAGCAAAAGACAAATAACAAACATCGAGAAAATCTTTAGCATTGAGGAAAATGCTGCCTCCGCTTTCACACATGACGCTGTCAACGCCGTCAGTGAAGCTGAAAGCGAATTAATGTTAATCCGATAATCAAATGGTAAGCTATGGCTGTGTGTGTGTGTGTATATGTGTGTGAAAATCGAGGAAAAACAAATAGTTTTCATCAGATTCGAAAATGTTGTCGCACGGAAAACAAAGTCAAAGTTGAGATTGAGCAACTTGTGAAGATGTTGCTGAAGTAAATTTAAAGCGAAAATGAAAAGAGATTGGAATTTGTCTATATGTATATCTACATATATGTATGCATACAGTATAATCCGGATATAACGACGATCCCTTCAGCTCTATGGCCATTCAAGATTGCTCATATAAGTTTGACTTAGGACCGTACGGACGCTATAAGCGTAGTCGCTATAACCGGATTCTACTGTATATCGATTTCAACTTCAATACATATCCACCTCTAAATATCTTATATAAGTATGTATATAGAAAAACTGCATCTATAAATCAATGTGTTAATATGTTTATCCGTCAGCCTGTTCATCTCAGCCTGTTTGTAGCAATATCAATAGATCTATCATTTGTCCTCTGCATGTTTGTCTATTCCACATTCACTTCATCTGCTTCTTTGTTTGATCTATTTACTGTCTAAATATACATCTAAGATTTATAGATCTATATATATATATTCAGAGATCTATCTATCTCCCTCGCTATAACATCTATCCTTCAACATATCTAATAAATAGTTCTATGCGTGTATAAGTCTCTCCCTCTCTGTACTTTGTTAATTTTTATTGCAACATTTTATGCACATTAATTAAGGCCAAACATGTGGGCAATGGCTAAGTCTAGAACTGCTAAAGCCTACATAACGGTCGCACCAACAGGCGCTCAGAGCGAGAGCGAGAGCGAGAGCGAGAACGATAGCTATAGCCTGCTGGCTCGCCTAAAAATAGTTACCCTTGCCACGCCCCTCTCGCGCTCGCTCATGGATTCGCCTCGCCTTTGGCCAATATTGTTTTATGGCCCATACAATATTACCATTAGATAAATTGCCTTTTGGCCTGGACATGAACTGGACAAAATGCTGAGAGCGTTGCCCACTGGAGCTCGTTTCTATAAGTTGCCGCTGCCACTGCTGCTTCTTCTTCTTCTTCTTCTTCAACTGGCCACATCGCGCTGCTTGCCACGTTTCAAATTACTTTCTTTATTGATTTCCCGATGACTCGCATTGTTTGCTATTTTTACTGCACTTCTACATGCATTCCAGCGACCAACTACTCCATGGCATTATTAGTCGTCTCTCTATCTGTGAGTGTGTATGGGTAGATGTCTGTTAGTGTGTGTGTGTGTGTGTGTGTGTGTGTGTGTACATATGTTGGCATTCACTTGGCCAACCCCTAACCCCATGTTCTTTGCCCACACACACACACACACGCACACTCTCACATTTCACATGTGCGTGTCAATTTGATGCGTGTGGCTGCTGCTGCTGCTGCTGCATTTTGACCCTTGGAACTTTTCGTGCCCCGCGTTGCTTCAATAGCCATGAGCCAAAGCACTTTGTCGACACTTTGCTCTGCCATCATAAAAAGATGTTCCAGCTATCCACACGTTTCACTCTTATCCGACGCTACGACCCGCTCACTCTCTATCTCTAGCTCCCTCTCTCTGCCTCTCTGTCTAATCTGTTTCTCTGTGCATTTTTTTGTGTGTTATGTATTTTCTACATTTATTTTATGATGCATTTTTATTGAAAATTTAATGCATTTTCTTGTTGTTGATGTTTTTCGACTGCATTTTATGTGCCAAGCTGTGTCACAGCCATTGATTAGAATGCTGCGCCCTGCTCCCCGCCCCCAACTCCCCCTCATCTAACTGCTATTACTCATTTTGGAAACTTAGACTTGCCGCATATGCGGGCTCGAGGCGCTGCTTAATTGAACACCCAACCGTTGCCCCGCCTTCCCCTTGCCCACCTGCCTTCAAAGAACCCTTAACTAAAAGTAACTATTAATCAGAAATATATAAGTCGTTCTCGACCTACTCTAAATTACCCATTTGCGTTTCGTTTGTGGGTGTTTTGTTCACTTTACTTACGTCACCCTCTAAGGAAACAAGGCATCAATCAAACTTACCTGCAAGACAAAGAAGAAGAAAGTTATTAATAAATAAAAATAAGAAGAAGAAGCATGGAGGCTTTAAGTCGGATACTGCAGCATTTTCAAGCGAAAACTTTATTATAATTATGAAAAGTTTTGAAAACTTAAATGGGTCTCTGATTATATTCCATTATTTCTGTGCCTCGTTAAGCTTTCCATTACTTGCAAAATGATTTTCGCTTGAACGTATATCATGTTATCTATAATCTATATATAATTTATATTATATATTAATATGTATTTATAGAAGCTAAAATGTTTTTAGAAGCACTATTTATCAAAAGATTTTATGCCAAATTCAAATTGCTCTATTCTACTTTTTTTTTTCAACATATATTAATACTGCAAATAAATAATTCCATACAATTACTATTCATACTACTCTAAATTTTTATGCTATTTTATTTAATATCCAAAGCTGAAGGCTAATATATTAAAAATGCTTAAACTTTTCATTCATTAATATTCAAAAATATTTACTCAAAGCATTTCCAATCTACTTTGACAATTCTTTTATAGCTTAGTTTTCAGTTAATTTCTACTACATTTCCAAATGATTTTTGAGCTATATATACTAAATAAATCACATCAACTACATATATACTATATAAAGCATATCAAATTATTTTTTAACAGTTGATTCAATTGCACCATTCAGCAGCTATAATTAGTCATGAGCTCATTGACCAGCTCATTAAAGCCCTAAGCGTAATTAGCTCAACTCGGCTCAAGCTCAGCTCTGCTCAAATGCGAATCATCTAACAAGCAAATTTATTGTATATATCATTAAGAAGTCAGTTTTTTTGTTGTATATAAATAGTTTTTGCCGTGTTTTTCTTCTGATATATATCTAATCAATAACCACAAGAGCAAAGCCACAGCACTTGCACTCCCTATTGCGGTTTTCGACAAACAAAGTTAAGGCACGTAGTTGTTGTTGTTGCTGTTGCTGTTCTTTGTCTCTTTGTGCATGTCTGGAGGCAAAAGTTCAATTAAAAATATTTAAACTGCGCCTGCCGCACACTCCAGTGCGAGCCAATGCCTGGGCTGATGCGTGTCAAAACTCAACTTGGGATAGGTTGGAGAGCTCCCGCAAGGCAACAGCTACAACAACAACAACAGGCAACAAAATGTGCACAACGAACGCCTCGCAATGGCCATAAGCCGCAACGGTCAGCGTCTGACGACCCCGATCGCCTCCCCCCTTGACCATAGCTCCCTGTACCTGACCTCCTCTCCCCAGCACCACTCAGCGCCAGCCAGATGCCCCAAGCCTCCATACCTTCACTTCTCTCATTCTCCACAAGCAATGCGGACTGCCAGACCATCCGGTTCTCAGTCGTTGTCGTAAAAACACAACAACAACAACAACAACAACAACAACAACAATAAAACCCCAACGAAAATTTCATTCTTCTTTTTGTTCTTTTTTATATATTTTTGTTGTATTTTTTAGAGTTTTTTTTTTTGTTTTGGGTGCAATGAACGTTGCGTCGTTGCTGCGCATGCGTGCCAGCAGCAGCAACAACAACAACAACAACATTGTTGCTCGGTCGTCTGCCCGGTTCGTTGAAAAATTCGTTAATAAATTGGCTACCCGAACTGCAAAGGCAGCTGAGCAGAGGCAGCTCCAAGCTCCAAGCTCCACCTTGCGTCAATATTAACATGCATGCTCATCCTTTTTCGCTTTTCGTTGTTGTTGTTGTTGTTGTTGTTACTGTAGCGACTGCTACCCCTCAGGGTCAACGGCCCACTTGTGTCGTAGTCGCTATTATCTGCGACCATCTGCCGTTGCCCGATTCCAGATCCCAGATCTTCAGACAGGCATACCTCCAGTGCTCCCACAAGAGGGAAGAGCAAATGCAGGCAAAAGAGAGAAACAGAGAGAAAGAACGAGAGATTTCGATAGACCCTAATCGATTTGTGACATGTGAGAAAAATCAATAAGCGCACCACAAAGAGAGCGAAGCCGCTCACAGGCTGCGTGCAGCTGCTCTCAAGTGTCCTGTCGCACAAGGACACAGGTACTTGAGCTGTGCCCATATCCTGTTCACGATCGTTGAGCAACCCCTATTACTGCCTACTGTCGGTAATTTGAGTATACTCTCCCTTATAATACACACTCACAATTCTGCCAAATCTTAAGGTTTCTCTTGCAGGATCTGTTACCTGTGCGCAAAATAGTTGTTTTTGCACCTGCCTGCCACAGTCTGTGCTCAATTCTTATCGTTCGACTGAATGTTAAACAACCCACAGCTAATTGGAGTACGCAGAAAAGGAAGAAGAAGAAGAGAGAAGAAAACACAATTGATTGGGCAGTTGATTTAGGGAGCTGGAGTTTCAATGGTAGTTTACTTCAGAGATCAGCTATTGAGTGATATATAGACTTGGATTAAGAGAGAGATTGATTTGAGTTGACAAGGGGCATTACAATTGGATTAGCAGCATTAAGTAAACTGATGAAATAGGTTTTTTTATTGATTTCTTATCCTCAATTTACAAATTTCCCTGATCGAGTGATAAGTGAGTGCAACATAATTGAAGAATTCTATGTCTAAATGTTAATCTTTATATACCGCTTACATAATATTTGTATACATTGTAAGAGTATATTAAGAGGATTTGATATACTCTTCATACAATTCTGAATAAAGAGTATATAAAATCCTAGTCATAACTTAATACCTAAATATATGAAGCCTTCAAATATCGTTTATAAATTATAAAGAAATGTTTATACAAAACAAGAGAATTCATTCAATATAATTATATGTAGCAATTGTTTTATTTTTGAAAATTACTAAGAAGAATTTTGCCCCATTTTTTTAAATAGAATACAATATAGTACTGTCCCTATTGCTAATGAATTATAAAGAATTTTTTGTCTATATAATAAGAGAATATAATATTGTATATAATTCTTCTTCTAGTTCTTCAGCCCGTACATGAAGTTCTCCCTCCATTGTTAATAAATTGTAAAGAAATTTATTTCCATAATATAAAAACAAATTCAATATAATTATTTGTAATATATCCTCTCCAGTTCTCAATAACCAATCCGCACTAGCCTCGCTAACAGAAACTTTTGCTACTTTACACTTGCCACAGCGCCCTCCCTTCAGCTGCCTTTCACTACATTGTTGCCACATTTCAATACGCATTGACATTTTCCCTGGCATTTGGCATCATGTATGTGTGTGTGTGTGACTTTTCATGTAAACTTTTTCGTAACAATAAGCTGGAAAAAAAAGCTACTGCAAGTAATTCTTGGCAACAATAATTGTTGTCAACAATGCGCCGCAGCTGAAGCTTATTGAAAATTGGCAACAAAGCGACAGTCAGCAGCTGCTGCAGCCGC